CTTCTCGGGATGCAGAGGCATGGAGTAGCTAACCGTTTATGTGAAGAAATCATAGCCAGGTTCTCCAAAATTTTATTGAACAGACCATGGTCTGGGTTGCTCTGACATTATGTCTCATTTCATCAACATAACAAATCCTGTTTTTTTAAAAAAGGAAAAGTCTGACATGTTCTCTTTAACAGATGAGGAAACTGAGGCTGAAAAAGGTTAACTGACTTTAGTACCCTCCGTAAGTGGTACCGATGAATTTTGGACCCACCTTTTCCAACTCTAGGTATAAACCTATAACATAGGTGTTTCTCAAGTGGATACTTTGTTCTCAAAGCAGGAAAGTTGCCAGTGGGATATGAAATGTTGACTCATCAGTGCAAGCTTTGCATTTAAATATGATGCCAATATACCTGCAGGTTTTGAAAGAATGACTCTTAAGTGGCTACTATAAATATGGCCCCAAAGGCTAGCATAAATATTTAATTCTGCACTGGGTGTAGTGGCACACACCTGTAATCCCAGCACTTGGGAGGCCGAGGCAGGAGAATCTCTGCGAATTCAAGCCATCCAAGGCCAGTCTGAACTACATAGTGAGATCCTGTCTCAAACGCCCCCCATAGTCCCCAGTTTGATTCTAATTATAATGTGAAAGCTTTTCAGAATGCTACAGTTAGGCATGATGTCCTGCTTTTGACTATGTTCAGGCCACTGGGAAGGTCTTTTCCTGGTCACCAGAAGAAAAACTGCCAAAGAGGATGATTCTCACCTCTACCTTAGTATTATTTCAACAGTGGAGTAATTTTCATGCGAAGATTCCCAAAGCAGTAGCTTGTTCAGAATTCTGCATTATAACGAGCAGGTCATAGACTTATCACCTGTAGGCATGACCTGTTCCATTTGGTTGTATACAATTAATGAATAATGAAAGTGCTGCTTAGTCATGAGGAACATAGACCTGATGATGTATCAAGAGAACTTTATCAGCCAATGGGAAACTCAAAGGTGACTACCATGAGCGTCCTCTGAGGCAGCTCTCAAATGCAGACAACCGTCTTCTGTGAACATTTTCACATAGGTCACAGAGGGAGTGAACTTTGTGAGATATTCTGTGTGAGTTAAACAGATCTTCCTCCTGTGGATGGATGAGTTCTCATGTTGTAGGTTTTCCTGGCATTCTTACTAGCTCTGGAAATAGCAAAGAGGTTTTCCCAGGCCCTGTCTCAGTTCCTAGCTAATGGCCTGGAACCCTAGGAGCCTGAAGGATCAGAAAGAGGTGTGAAGAGGGAAGCATTTCAATACTTAACTATATTTTTCTTTTGCTCAAGTGGTTATTTTTGCTGTTTGGCTTATAGTAATCTGCACGACTGGCTTACATTAGACAGTAAAAATTTATTTTCACAACCTTAGGGATCAGCATAGCATGTAAATTATATTTCAGATATCTACTGTTTATCATATTTTCATAACAGCAATAGCAAGGTACATTTCAAGTGGTAAGTCTGGTGATCATTACAAATCTTCATTTACCCACAGAATCTTCAAGGGTGGGATATTAACTGCTATGTTGGCTTGGGAACCAATCTCATTTATGAGATTTACCCACTAACCAGCACCTTTGCAAGCAGTGACTCTCAGCCTTTTCCGAGACTGATGAAAACAATACAACATCTATCCTGGACTATTTTATACACACTAAAACTTGATAAGCACTGTTACAGGCCCTCCATCAAATATTCTGCAAATACAAAATTGTGTGTACAATGCCAGGGACCATAAGGATACATTCAGGGAGCTGGCTAATAATCCCCATTCTGGATCCTCTTGCAACATAGCTATGAAGGAGAAACCCCTTCCTAAAAGGGCTGGGCTTGGTATGTTGTATATAAAAAGTCCTGTTGCCTTGTCTTGCCACTGCAGACAATGCAGATTTTTCCAGACATTTGAGAAGAGTGCAGATTATAGGAAATATGCTAGTTATGCAAGTCGGTTTGCTAGGAACAAGAGAAAGTTAATGAAGTCTTGATAGTTCTAAGAAATGTGGGAAATATAACCATGTAAGTGTTTTCCTTTTCACTTAATAGTGAAGGATAATTTTGAGCACTTTATGGGAAGCTTTATGGGAAGATGGAGTTATGGCATGGAGGTCGGTGTTGAATTGGTTTTTCTAGTCACCATGATGGTTTGCACTGGGCCCAATGACGCACTGCCACTTCAATATGGCAGGAAAAGAACAACTAGTGGAACAACTAGTGCTAGCGGGGAACGTGTAGCCATATTCCAGGTGAACCTGGAATCCCAGTTGAGAACTGATGCCAGTGTCCTTCCCTTAAAATGAAATTTGCTGCCGCCTGCCTCAAAAGTACAAGGACCTGAGTTTGATCCCTGGTACCGGGTGAAAAAAAAAGTTAACAAAAATGAAATTTGCAGTTGTTTTACAACTAAGTGAGTATAGTAAATCTATAGTGAAAAATCATGCTCCTGGTGGGTATTTCACTTTAATTTTATGAGAAAGTTGGCCCTTGGAAAGTATTGGTTAGGCTTTCTGGTGATTTATCTGTGTGTTCCTAGCCAACTGGAGGAGGAAACTCTGAAAACAGCATGATGAGAAATGCCCTCAAATCAGAGCTCCATTTTCTAAGCCATTAAGAAGCAGCCAGTCTCTGCTCATTCATCCTTCAAGAGAAGAAAGTAGTGACCGCTTTTCCTTGAATGGCTAGAATGAATGGCAGTGTGAGGAGTGAATCTTCTTTCTTACCCAGTGGGTTTGGCTAAGTTAGGTACCTTCAGCTGCCCCACAGGAAAAGCTGGCAGAAATCTCCCAGATAGATAATTCTTGGCAGACATGAGGTATGTCCAGGGTATCTTAAAGCTTTAAATTCTGGTAAATAGATATATTTTTTTGCTGAGTCCAAGGTCTCAGGATCTAGCTTGAATTGGGCTTCAGTCCCTATAAAAGTAAATTCCACCCTGATAAATGGAAATAGATTACCTTCTACACAATGTCTTCCCGTTCAGTTGTAAATGGAGAAGATTTTGAGGAGGCTTCATTTAATAATACCTTATCAGACAGCTTTCAGGAACCTGCAGTGTCTAATATGTCTGTTGCTATGGTAACCGCTGCTTGCTTATGCTGTGCATCTCATATCTATGTCTTCCATGGGCCCCTTCTTTTTTTACTGATGAGGGGGTTTGAAAAATATAATCCACTAGGAACAATTGCAGGCCTGGCCTTCCACTATGGAAACTGCACCCACAGCACTTTGTTTTGCTTGGCCCGTTGGAACCAGAGTTCCAAATGGTATCTTTGCACATGTCATAGGAAAAAAGGAAATCTATAAAGCTTAAGGGAGATAAGTATCCCTCCACACCTGGAGAGGCAGCTTCTGCCACCCCCATATCATTTTCACATATCTAAGTCTCATGAGTATTTACAGAGAAGATGGAGATTCCAAATTGGTGTGAGAGATACAGGAGCTACTACTCTGTGCTCTTATTTTCCCAGCCTTTTGGTCAAAGAGGTTTGAGGGCATGGGGCAAGTGTTCCTGGCCCCTAAAAGAGAACGAGAAAGACCACCTACCCTGTGTTTCAGTACTCTTAAATTATTCTAATTGATCACTGTCCTTCTAAGTGACAGGACATACCACTGGGATCCTGGATCATTAATATGGGGAAATTTTCTTTGTTCCTTAATCACTTAACAAAATAGGGCCTCACAGTGGAGATGAGGATTGGCTCTGAGTCCAGGAACTGCTTTTTCTCCCTTTCTAGTTCTTATTCCTTAATTTTTGTACATGCACAGATTTCCTTTCTGTGCTCCTGGGCCTGCCCTGCCTGCTGTTTTCTCTGCAACCCTCTTTTGAGAGCAGTAGTTCGCCTCCTGTGATCTTCAGTCAGTGTCTGTGACTCTGTGCTCCATTTGTGACTGTGCCTCTGTGAGTCTCTGGGACAGGCTGGCCACCTGCCCCTCCCTCCCACCCCGGGGGACTCTCCGATGGCCCTGGCCCTAGGGCTGTCACACCCACCTGGGTATCAGCTCTTCCACTTTGTCTCCATCTCAGAGGAAAGTAATGAAAATAATCGGGCTTCATTAATTCCAAGCCCTGTGAGATGATAGCCATTTGGAGCCTGTTTGCCAATTAGATGGTCTAAATTAGAAGTGACCTTGGTATACTGCCACTGCTTGCCTCTCTGAGTCTAATGAAGCTTCTCTCTCCAATTCATTCTCTTCCTCAGCTCTCTGCATGTGTGCACACGCGTGCACGTATATAACTGTTATGTGTTCCCTCTCTACCTTCTCCCCCCTTTAATCTTATTTTCAGTTTTTAAAATCTAGTTCTGGTCTACATCTGTTTCTGGCCCTACGAATGTTAGGGTGGCCTACAGTTTTTGTCTTACATTTTATATGTAAAAACAACTGCATAAACCACACAAAAGCTGTATTAGAAGTGAAATAGCGATAGAAGTGGAATAGGAGGAGTTCGTCAGTGGGTACCAAGTTACAATTAGGAGAGGTGCAGCCTGTGTTCTATTGCATGGTAGACTACAGTCCACCATATTGTGTATTTCAGGATGAGACAGGAGTTTTAGTGTTTCACTACAAAGAAATAGTTGAGGTGATATATGTGGTAATTAAAGAAAGTATACATGTATTGATTCTTCACATTGCACTCCATATATGTGTACAATTAAGTATCAGCTTAAAATGAAAAAGTCAGTTTTTACAAAGGAGATGGCACAAAGGGAGATTCTAGTCCTTCCAGACCTGGAGGCCCTGTGCCCAGCTTGCACATGTTGAAGGCAGTAAAAGGAGAGCAAACCTTTGAAACTGCTACCAACAGGTGCCCTGGTTTGCTGGCTTCAGAAGTGCAGAACCAACTTGTGGGCCAGTAGCTATCTAGGTACAGGGGAGGAGCTGAGCACCTGGGCGCTCACTAGGACAGGTGGCTGCAGATATAACAGTGGCTTGACTGCTCAGTCCTGGAAAGGATGGTTTTAATTTCACGCTTAATTTTTTTTTTTTTTTTTTTTTGTTACAGAACCAGCGCCTTACCCATAGGATATGGAGACTGCTTAGGTCTGTGCCAGGGAGGTCTGTGCTTGAGGTTTTCCTTTTCCCCTCTGTCTGAGGTGCTTTGTTCTATTGATTTTCCCTGAAAAATCTTTGGCAAACCTACCTTCACTTGGAAGGAAGGGCTTCACAAAGAAGCCCTCACTAAGGGGAGCTGTGCCAAGGCTGAGGTACTAAGGGTCTCAGAAACCAGGGTCAACACTTTTTTGGGTCGGGGAGAGGGAGGGAATCTGTGCGCACATGGATTGTGTTAGCTGCACTGATGTACCCCAGGCCAGCCTTTCTGAGGGCAGCCTTGAGAGATGAATTTACATAGATAACCCCATAAGAAGTGGAGTGTAATCTTGGCTACCTAAGGTTCAACTTGGATGTCCTGCAGGTGAGGAAGTGGGGTGGTACTGTATTACTTTTAATTCTACTTTCTCTCAAAAAAGAATAAAAGAATAGCAGTGGCCTTTCCTAGATGTCATAGGAGTGGGGGACCCACAACCACATCTAAGACTCTGGGATCTGATGTGTGTCCTTGGGGATTTAGAGTCCATTCACTTCATAGAATCTTGAAAGGTATTAAATCACAATCCAAAACAGTGATGAAACAAACTAGCAGGTGGTTGGAACTGGGTATTATGAATCCACATTTGCCTCTCTGTTGATCAAGGGTAAATTCATTTGAATCCATGGATGATTTCCCTCAGGGGAACCTATGATTCCCTGAAATTGTCTGCAGTCTTCTGTCTGCATTTTTCTAGGAGTTTGCAACTATCATCAAATTTCCTAAGGGCTTTTTGACCTCAAAAGGTTATTCTGGATGGTGAGCCTCTTGGGGGCAAGACCTTCTCTTGCTCTGTGTATTTCACAAGCATGAGGCACAGGAACTCTGTCCAATGTTCAGTAAATGGAAGCCAAATGAATGGATGAGCAGAGTCACTAAAGGTCCTTCCTTCTCGACAGAGTTGTTTTGAAATTGCTTAAGCCTGAAGATTTGAGCATCAGTGTAGAACTCCTTTGTTTATATGAGAACTGCTTAAACTGGAAGGGTTTCTCCTGTATTACCCTGAAATGTTTACTTGTTAGGAAGATGTTGCAGCCACTGTTTCAAAACTTTTAGCACCCTAGCTCAGCTGATGGTTTCTTCTTTTCCCATTACCTCTGTACACTTTGGAAGGAAAGTTACTGATGTGGTTCAAACAGGGTGGCAGGAAAACACAGTGTCTAGATCACCCTTTGCACAGCCGAAGCCAGTCTTGAGACCTAAATGCTAAAAAAAAAAAAAAAAAATGATGCTAATTAATCATTTTAATTTTCAAGTCCAAAAGGACTTGGTTTACCTATTGGTAAGTCTATTTTAATATTCTCAGGACCAGTTGGGAGTAGAGTATGTGTTCGGTGTTTGTGGATGTACTGATTATTAGGATAATAATTCTGTGGACAGTAAAGGCAGTATGTAGGTTTGAACTGATTGTGTATTAGCCAAACCTCAGAAGTTTTCCTGTTTGGCTTTGAGTCCATAGCTGGGGAAGTAGGTAGGGCAAATCTAGGCAAATAGAGAAAGAAAGGCAGGCAAGAGAGCAGAGATACCACATGTGTGTTGTCTATGTGGGGACACTAGTGGAAGGGACCTCTGAAATTAGGTACATTTAGAATCGTCCTGCTAGGCTGTTAGTAGGTATTGTCCTCTCATAAATCTATGCATGTCAGGCTCCTAGGGAAAGGAAAAGGCCTTTACAGAATGCATGCAGCAGGGTTGAGGAGTGACTTCCCCACTTTTGTCTGGCCAGATGGGGCTGAGACAGTCTGAACCTCCCGTGAAGTCTGGTAGCCAGATATAATTAGAAAACAAAGGTAGAACCAAGGCAAGTCTTGAAGGAACTCTGTCTTTGGATCTCCTCTTCTGTGAACTCTGCTTGGCAGGGTTCCATTTAGGGCTCTTTAAGAAAAAAAACATGCAAACTTGGAAGGACATGTTTTAGAAGCTGGTAGGAGAGGAAGGAATAGGCACAGCCCTGGGAACATGAGTGTCTGAGAACAGTCCGGTAGCCTGCATAGTAAGGCAAGTTCCATTGCCAGTCTCTGTTCAAACACACATGCAGATCGACCCCACCAGAATTTCTAGATCCTTAAGATTTCCTTTAGGGATGCTTCCTTTTTGCCTCGTAGGGATTTCTTGCCTGTTAACGTTTCATATACCAAACCTTTTTTTTTTTTTTTTTTTTTTTTTTTTCC